GGGGGGGGGGGGGGGGGGGGGGGGGGCGTTTTCACACCCCTGAGCGCAGCAAGTTGCAGCGCTGTACAGCGCCAGTGTAGCCAAGGCCAGAGTAAATGAACTGTTCCAAAAAATGAGATTTGCTTCAGGTCTGAAGCTCTGGTGTAAAACAGGGAGGCCTTTGTGGCTTGTTTTATAAGGACAAATGGGACGACAATTCAAAGATTACATTTAGCTGATGAAGAACTGCCTCCCTTGTCTTAAAGAAAAAAGAAGGCACAATAAAATCCTGATCTGAATAAATATTCAGAAATTCCTTAAGAACTGAACGTTTTGTCTATGGAGCGCTCTATCAGCGGTGAGAACTGCTAACTCGTTAACATTCGTCAAGTGCTTTGAAGATGTAAAGTGTTATGTGAGGAATATCAGAAGTGTGAGACTATGGCTAGAGAAAAAAGGCTGTTGATTGGGAAAAGAACCAATCAATTTTGAGAAAGTTATTCTGCAATCTGACAAATGCTTCTTGTTCCTTAGGCAAAATATAGACCATATCGCTTGTTTTAATAAAAGTTAAAAGTTCTGAACACTTACTTTTATGTAACACTGAGCTGCATCTCTTTCAGCCACTGTAAATTCCAAAGGTTTATAATATGCATGGTATACCTGATTGGGAAATATGAGTATTAAGATTCCTTGTTAGACTATCAGAGGGGTAGCCGTGTTAATCTGTATCCACAAAAACAATGAGGAGTCCGGTGGCACCTTAAAGACGAACAGATTTATTTCGGCATAAGCTTTCGTGGGCAAAAAAACCAACTACTTCAGATGCACGGAGTGAAAATACAGATACAAGCATAAATATAAATTGGCACACGAAGAGAAGGGAGTTACCTTACAAGTGGAGAACCAATGTTGAAGGCCAATTTAGTCAGGGTGGATGTGGTCCACTCCCAAAATTTGATGAGGAGGTGTCAATACCAAGAGAGGGGAAATTGCTTTTGTAGTGAGCTAGCCACTCCCAGTCCCTATTCAAGCCCAAATTTATGGTGTTAAGTTTGCAAGTGAATTGTAGCTCAGCTGTTTAATTCTAGAACTACCAGACATATGACATGACAACATCATGATTATTATTATTATTATACACAATTGCTAGTATCCACTAGTGCTGTATTAACAGACAAATAGACCAAGATGGGTTTTTAGAACAGCATTAATTAGTGGGCTAGATTTCTTTTTAAAGCTTACAAGATATGCAGTTACTGTGATAAAAAGTACACATGGAAAACAAGACCAAGAGCAGAAAACATCTTTTTCACAGAAAGCTCAGCTATTTATACAGGTCCTAGTTACACAATTGAAAATTTTCATACCTCTATGTTATTCAGTCCATAATGTTCCACTGCCTTTTCTTCTGACAGTCCTACACAACCGTATTCCAGAGGAGTGAAAACTGTAGTGGGTACCTGGCACATCATAAAACAACCCCAAATGTTACTGTCGAACCATACGATGAGAGACACTCGCTAGGCATTTAGCAGCTACAAAAATAGGTGATTTGATGGGGCGACTTTTGCAACAGCGAGAAGAGTTCTAGTTTCAGTGCACCCAGTCTGAAAAGCTGGATCCCAAATTACAAAAAATGATTCTCGTCTATTTAGTAGCGTGTTGGGTTTTGTTTTTAACCATTATAAATAATACTGGAAAAAAAAAAAAAGTAACAACTCACATTGTCATAATCCATCAGTTCTGAAGACTGGCCAAACAGACGTTGAGCCAGCAGCTTTCCTGCAGCTATCGCCGTAGGGGTCAGTTCAGGGCGCCCCTGAGAAGAGATTAAAAAAAAAGTTAGCTTTGGCCAGAAGTCATGGTTTTCCCCAGTGATGGCAGCTAGAGAGGTGCAAGAGTTTGCGATCCCAACCCAGCAGTCTGAAGTCAAAACATAGCAGTGAATACCCAAGGATTTATCCCATCTAGGATAAGAGGTTGTGTTAGAACATGTGAGCTAACAAGTCCCAACACCACACCTTTAGGTTCTAGTCAAGACAAGCCCCAAGAGTCCATTCAAGGTCAAGGAATCCATGAAGGGAAAGGGACAGGGACAGGAAAAAGTCTGCCTGGGGTGGGAAAGAGATCAAGAAGCTAAGTGGAGAAATGATGTGAGGAAGTGAAGAGGTAGTAGCTGGAAGATTTTTTGTGAAGTAGCACTGATGTTTTATAAAAGACCATGGCTGGTGGATTTAGGCCCCATCTAGATGTCATACTTCTCAGATTCACTCAAAGCCATTAGGTGGCTGCCCCAATACTTTTGCAATCTAATTGTGTTTCCTTCCGGGTATTCCCAACTAACCACTACCTTAGAAACGGGATTCAGCAAATATCAAAACCAAGATTTCCCACTCTACCCACCCAAGCTTTTCAAACTTTTATTGACTATTGTAAAACATTTGGGGCATCTAATGACACTTTGATTAATTCCCACCTCCCAGCTTATCCATAAGATTTCTATGTATATATTAGTAACTGTGAATCACTTCTGCACACATACGCATTTCAGCTGAACTGCAAATTTTCTTGTAGTTTTCTTTGTCTCCTTTACCATCCATTGCACCACCTTTGTACTTGGATTCTCCATGTTAATACTCACTGAGTAGTGAGGGAGTCACAGACTTCCATATCAAAAGTCAAATCCAAACAATTTAGTATTGTAAGCACTTATGTATACTGTACCTGATGCACATGCTTTATACGTTAATGAAAACTAGCCTATTTTTCTCCACAACCCATGACAAATCATGGAACTGCAAACCCATGCTTTTTTTGTTTTTTTTTAAAAATCCATCAAATAATGGCTTTTCAAACATAGCATTTTCGCTTCCAAGATCTGTAAATGTCATTTACCAGATGAAGTTTGCCATTTGTTTTTTCTTACACACATATGCCTGAAAAATGTCTGCCAATCATTTCTGTAGCAGGAAATACAGATGTTGTTTTGGCATTCCAGAAATGAATAGAAGATTGGAACGAGAGATAAAATTGTGAAAGCACTGCCATGCATTCCACAAAACCCAACTAATTACTAAAACATCCATGCAGATAAAGCACAATTTCTCATAAAACAACAGCTTTAAGACGTTCCCTGGTAAATATTTGAAGTCAACACTCACTTTGCAGTCATGAGTACAACTACTCAGTTGATTATCATTGATTTGAATTGTTCATAAGAATCCTTTCAACATATTACACATTTAAGGCCTCCTAGGAGAATTTTAAAAGCTTTGAAGTGCTGTATATTTGTTCTAACATGACTCATTTTTTTGGTCTTATTTCTATTCAGAACACCCTATCAAAGCAACATACTGTACCTTCCACCCGGTTACAGTTGCTACAACGCCCTTTGAAAAAGGTGGATTTACAGTGGCTCCCACGTATGTTAAACATCATTATAACAACACTTCTCTGTAGCACGTAGTATGCTTCTTCAGTAAGAATGATATAGGAGAGAGGATTTTAACAAGCATAAAATTTATACCAGACTTGCAAAACTGTCACATATATTTGCCAACTCAGACATAAAAATCTACCACCTCAACCCCTCTCACGATTACTGATAACGAAGAAACTAATGAGATTTCACTTGTCAGTTAAAAAAAAACCCCAAACAAAACCACTATTCACTGAAAGGGTTCTGAGACCTTTTCAAGAGCACTGGATGCACCCCTGGGAAGTTTATACAAGTGAATAGTTCAGATGAATTTAGGGTCTAATTTTCCAAACAAGAGCACAACCATGCACACACAATTCCACATTTGCACCAGCCAAGTACGTCTCTTAAAAGTGACAATACTCATTCTGAATAGGTGAGTGGGGCTTAAATTGTGAATAAACCTCTCCATTGAACTCTTAATATTTAGCAGCAAGTTAGTGTCTATGCAACAAGAGTTTGGGAAATGGGGGCCGAGAATGACTTTTAAGAGATAACAGCTGTCAAATGCGCCCTGCATCTCAAAGGACCCTAATGCACGTCACAAACTGTATACTTGGAGTGCCACCGAAATGCTGCCAACTACGTTTGGGGGGAGCAGACTGGTGGAAAACCAGTGTGCAAGACCTTGTACAAAAGCAGAGAGAGGGGCAATGCTGGCCAAGGACCCTGTGGCAAACCCTACATTTATGGGCAGGATGGGGGGCGGGGGGGAGGAGGGGGCGGCGATCACCAATGTTCACATACAGCAAGAAGGACTTTGGCAGGGCTTTTCCCCTTCTTTTAAAAGGTCTTATCCAAAGGATACACACACACACACTAAAATACATGGTTCTCAGTATATGCTGAAGGGCCGAGCCGACCCGGTTGTGATGTGAACCAATGGTTTTAGAGTGCATGGGGATTTCAAACCTGATATTTGATCTGCTAGAGAAATTCAATTAAGTTGGGAGTTTCACTTTACTGTCAGCTCGCTGAGCCAACAGCATTGCCAGTTTTCAATGATCTAAATTAATCCTTTAACAAACAATTTGGTATTCACGTAAAATGATTATATCACTTAATTCGACCACAGAAACGCACTTCAACATTGGATGAAATTCTCTGACCTGCATTATGCAGGAGGTCAGACTAAATGATCATAATGATCCTTTCTGGCCTTAAATTCTATGACTCTGTGAACAACATACCCTCTTATGTCTTGGGTTATAGGGAGCTACTTAAATCAGGGGTGGCCAACCTGAGCCTGAGAAGGAGCCAGAATTTACCAATGTACATTGCCAAAGAGCCACAGTAATACATCAGCAACCCCCACATCAGCTCCCCCCCGCCCGCTCCCAGGGCCTCCCGCCCACCGGCAGCCCCACCAATCAGCACCTCCCCCTCCCTCCCCGCACTTCCCAATCAGTTGTTTCTTGGCGTACAGGGGGCTCGGAGGGAGAGGAGCGAGGGCATAGCAGGCTCTGGGGAGCGGGCGGGAAGGGGTGGAGCGGGGGCAGGGCCTGTGGCAGAATCAGAGGTTGAACAGTGAGCACCCCCTGGCACATTGGAAAGTTGATGCCTGGAGCTCCAGCCCTGGAGTCAGTGCCTATACAAGGAGCCACATATTAACTTATGAAGAGCCGCACGTGGCTCCGGAGCCACAGGTTGGCCACCCCTGTACTTAAATGAAAGCACTGAGACTGTATAGAGAGGTACATAAATTTGAGCTTAACTGAGCATATCTGGAGAGCACTGATTAAACTCCCAGAGTGCTCATCCCCGAGTGGGCTTGGCACAGTGTAAAAATGAGAATATCATTTTTAATTCAGAGTCCCTACACTGAGGAGCTTACAACCGAAATGAGAGACACAGCATCAGAACAGGAAAAGGAGAGACACGAGAGACCATGAGTCACAGTAGAACATGAATGAAGCTTTTAAGTGCTGACATTTTTGAACAGTGAGACTAAGGTAGAGGAAAAGGGGGGAAGCTCCCAGCCCAGCAGGGAAAGTCACATGGGAAAGAAACCATGTGTGGAAGGGGAGCGAAGCGGAGAGAGCTGAAGTGGTTGCCCAAGGTCATACTGGAGATCAGCAGCAGCATTGTGAACAGAACCCAGTCTCCTGAGTCCCAGTTCAGTGCTCTACCCACACTGTCTCTAGCTTCTGAATTGGAGAGATTCAAGAGAAGAAAGGTTAAAACCACAGAGTTTAAGGCTAGAAGGGATCACCCGATAATTTAGTCTGACCTCCTGCATATCACAGACAATCACTACCACCCGGCCACCCACCCACAACCAAAAGTAGACCAAAGTATTCCACAGCCCTCAGGAGGCTAAACTATTGTGTGCCACAGGCAGTGAATAGGAGGGAGCAATGGCAGGGAATTAATTAATTGAGATATACTCAGATGATCCTGGCAAGCGAGTTGCGCATCATGCTGCAAAGGAAGGCGATCCCCCTCGCACCCTGGTCAATGCCAAGTTGACCTGGAAGAAAATTCCTTCCCAGCCCTATCCTGAGCATCTGAACAAGAACCAGCCAGCTAAGAGAGAGAACTCTCAGTACCACCTCAGAGCACAAGCACATCCCGTCCAGTGTCCCATCTCCAGCTGTGGCCATCTCTGATGGTTCAGAGGAAGGAGGCCAAAACCCCCCAACCCAGAATACATTTGGAGTGTGTGGGGGGGAGGGAGGAGGGGAATCAGGAGGTCAGGAGAGACAACTATGGCATGAACCAGGGATTTGACAGATGTACTGAGTGGAAGGGGCAAACTTCTAGAGATATCACAGAGGGAGAACTGATAAGATATGGTGAGAGTCTGGGTGTGAGAAATCAAAGATAACCCTCTAAAGGTGTGAGTCTGAGTGGTGGGGAAGGATAGTGAAGTTGTCAACAATGATAGAGGGGGGAGGGTTTAGAGGAAAGGAGTAGTTCAGTTTTGACAGTTTAAAGGAAGTAACAGGTCATCCCAGAGAAGACATCAGAGAGAGACAAACAGGAAGAGATGTGAGCCTAGATGGAGGGAAAGAGGTCAAAGGTGGAGAGGTAGATTTATGAGGTCTGTGTCTGGTTCCAGAGTCCTAGTTAGGAATGTGGACGACTATCCTCAGGACATTATGTAACCTACCATACCTCTTGGAAGAGTTGGGACAACTGTATTGTTTAAATGTGGCAGAATCATGAATCGTTTAAAGATCTTTCAATTTATACTGTATATACCCCTTGGATGTCATCACAGTATTTAAAGCTTTTTGGAAAAAAAAGATGACTCAAGTATATAAGGACCAATCCCGAAAAGCACTGATGCACTCAACTGCCACTAACTTCAGTGGTAGCGGAGGGAACGCTGTACCTTGCAAGACCAGGCCCATATATTACACATATTGTCTATCTCAAATATTTATATGATATGCTTTGGGAATCAAAGCAATCTTATTTACTGGCGAGAGTACTTGCTAAAACTGTAAAGATTACAATGCAGACATACACAATTATACATTTTACAAAGACAACTCATTTCTAGATGCTATGTTTATCCTGGACACTCTGAGTCTTTACGTGACTGAAAACATCTGGCCTTGTGCCGCAAAGTACACTCTGGCAGGTGCAAGAAACTGTTGTCAGAGCATATTTTGTAGATTATTATTAGAATTGGGTTAATGCTGCAAGAATCTGTGACTATTTGTTTTGCTCATTTTGTTTTACTAATTACTGAATGAGCTTCAAGAATGCTTGTGCCCCTTTTATGTTCTCTTGTCATGAGCTTCTGAGCAATTGAGTTTTGCTTGGCATAAATGTTCAGAGAAGCAGAATCACATGCAAATATCGGGGGCAATCAAATTTTAAAATTCGCAGATACGGATTCTTGTCCCAGAAGCATTCCCTACCAGAGAAGAGAAAGGGTCATGTGACCAATCACAATTAATAATAAAACTCAATAAAAAATCAAATATTCACTGAAATTTTCACTGTCATTCCATAGACATGTTGAGAATTATTCATTCAGCTCTAGTAGTTATGTATATTTTAACTCAAAATTCAGGGACTGCATGAAGACATTTATTTGAAGGAATAAAACAATATTAAAGATATTCGTATTAACTTCTACCTGGTAATGCATTTCCTGATAATCATCAGCAATAATCTAATACAGAGATACTTCACAAGATTTTGGTCAAGGAAATTACTGGTCCAGGTGGCTGGCGTAACATTGTACAAAGTGAAAAAGACCAAAACACTGTATATATGCTAGAGCATGATGACATCTGGTCACTAGTTAAAAGTCAGGAACAAAGTTAGGCTTCCTGTTATTGTAGAATAGTTTATGTAGACATTGTACCTCTGTTATGTCTCCAATTGCATAAATGTGAGGAACAGAAGTAGCTTCGCTGGCATCAACAATGATCTTTCCAGTTTCAGAGTTAATTTTCACCCCAATTGTCTCCAAATTCAGAGTTTTAGTGTCAGGTGCTCGGCCTTAAGAAATGAAGAAACTTATGTTAAAAATATTTCTTCATCAGCTTTAATCTAAAAAACCCCTGTCATTCTCCGTCAAAGGTATCCAAGAACTTGGTGCTTGCTGTTCAATAACCTAACAAGAAGGAAAACAAAAACTGTGTTGGACAGTAGTAAAGCTCTCAGTGGAAATTATTGACATGAATTTCTCTTTGTGAAAGGAAAATACCATTACAAGTACCTTATCAAGATCATTTTCAAGAAAGTGATCCCATAACAAAATGATAAGACCATTGCATTATACGCAGAATACAGAAGGTTTAATGTTACATATTAAATGCGGTTATCAACACATTGTTTATAACTGAAGTGTCATCTTCTCTGAAAATTAGCATTCAGGCAAAGTGAAAGAACCCTTCACAATCCTATTCCTCCTCCACGCCCCCCCACCCCTTGACAATCTTTACCCTTTAATTTCTTTCCGTTTGGATAACAAAGAAAATCAGTGAAGTTAGCGTCACTTTCAAGTTCTTAGTGATATAACGTTTGGGTCTCACATATTATATGGGAATGTTTGTGTATTTTAAGACAACTGGTTTCCCTGCATTTTGTAAAATTTGTGGCAATGTTTCTATTGGCCCTAAGTTTTATAACAGCTTCTTTTGACAAAGTTTTCATCTTGGAACAAATTTAAGTTGATGGTGTTCTTTTAAGTTATATAACCAATAAAGTATGGCTATGGCCTGGAATCTAAATGGCAAAAGACTGCAGAAAGCACCCTACTTGTCAATCAAAAGCTTGCCAACATTCCACTGAGCAGTCTGTACAGTGCCTCCCACAACAGGCCCTGATCCTTGATGGGTGTTCCTAAGCTCTACTGTAATACAAATCATAAATGATTGTAAAGGTAACCTGCAGAATCAAGTTATCCAGTATCAGCAGAGTTTGCAAAGACAAACATGATGACAGGATAAATTAGCAGAAGAAATCCAAATGAGGAAAGTTTCCTTCTCCTTTTAAAGCTGTATCCATTTTTGGAGGCTATAAAGGAAGGGAACAGGAGCACGTGCTCTTTGTGTGGAACCCACGGTTTTGTGTTTGATGTTAACGCAAAGCAAAACAAAAAGGGAAATGTGTTTGCATTATAAAAAACAAGATCTTTGATGTTAATGTAGGAAATTATTAAACAAAAGGAAAACCTGGCTTGTCAGTGCAGATCTAATTATATGTAAACATATGATTCACTGCTTTACACATCTGCCATATCACCAGGCCCCCCAAACAATGTCACATCTGAATGCCTCAGTAAGGACTTCTGTGTATTAATTTCATCTGGTGAAACCAACACTTCCTCTGGGAGTACTGACTGAAGCTGTCGGCACTTGGCTATCTGTCTGTCTTCCCTTCTGTTGTCCCCATGGGATGTTGATCTGCTGTTCCTTCTCTGCCCCTTGCTCCACAGTCCCGATGCTATCAGGCAACAAAAATAATAAACCTCCAGGACCTTATCTTGGCTCGGATGTGAAACAACTTCCTACCGTTGTATTTCTTTGTGTACTGAGAGTAAAGCCTGGATATTCTGCAAATGGACAGCTAATGGGGTTTTCTAGTTTCCCCTTTTTCCTGCCCAGGCTGAGCCAAGAGAAAGCTTAGCACGCAACAGCAGACATTTAAAAAAAAGTCACCCAACTCCTAACCTCATCAATAGATTAGTTTGAGGCACTGTGACAAAAAACAACGGAGTTTATCAAATCTGCAGAACACTTCGCTTTTCAATTCCAATCTACCTTAACATGTGTATTTTGTATTAGCAGCTAAAGAATTACATAAAGTATGCTTTGCTGGTCATTCTGAAACTCCCTTGCACGCCCAACTACATTGCCCAAGTGCAGTTATGAAAGCAGTAATAAAATATTCAACTAGGTTGAATTTGTATTGGCTTCCAGCTCCAGTGGCTCACATTCACAAACTAGAATTACATTTAGTAATCTTACTTCAGATCAACTGTATTAGCCTTTGGCTCATGAATTCTCTCACATGCAGCCAAGTAGCTCGATTAATTCTAATCCCAAATTTAGGAAGCCCTAACATTTCCCCACATTCACCTATCTGCAGTATTAAAGCAGTCGCTAACATGTCTTCCTAATGTTAGGTAGTACGGCTAATTGTTTTTGATAAATTATTTTTAAGTTCTCAAGGTTGTTTCAACTTTTTTTAAAGTACAGTTTTAGGAAAGTATCAGTTTACAGCTTCTTCCCAGGAAGAGGAAACCCAAGCACACTCCAAACCCCACCAATCAAAGCAGAGAAATGGCCTCTCTTACAAAGTCAGCACACATGCTTTTAATCACAGTTCCAAACACTGAAGATGACCACCGCCTTGAACTCTGAAAAACAATGAGCCTATGAAAGCATATAGGGCACAGGGCTGGCTGTAGCTTTTTTTTTTTTTTTTAAATCAGAACTGCAACATATTGTGCCACCGTTCTAGAAAAAGAAAGATACAGATGCCTGTTCCACCTTTAAACAATGGCTAATGGACTCTTGCCCGCCATGATCCCACCCAACCCTTCAATAATTGTGAATGAACATGACAATAGCACTTTTAACCAACAAATAGGGTAACCATGTCTCCCTGAAAACCAGATATATCCCTGGCCCTATTCCCCTGCTGTCTGTACAGAAAATAATGTTTGAGGTAAGCCTTGGCAGAGTGGCTTCCTGAAGGAACTTGTCAGTCAACTGAGCTAATGAAATCAACAGATAAACCACATATTCCCCTCTGGGATAAACCACATATTCCCCTCTGGGACAAACAGCAGGTCAGTCATACACTAAATGTTGCCACCAGAGCCTACATGATGTCTCCCAGTGAGCAGCTCTTAGAGTGAATTTTCCTCAGCCACAATCAGATCCATGCGGCACTAGTCACTGCTGTGACCAATGAGCCTAGAGGCAGCCCAGTTGCACCATCCATAGGTGCCATCTTCCTCGGTTGCCGGGGGGTGTTCGACCTCCGCTCTGCCCCAGGCCCCGCCCCCGTTCCACCCCTTGCCCCAAGTCCTTACCCCCGCCCTGCCTCTCCCTGCCCCCGCTCCTTCTCCTCCCCCCAGCGCCTCCTGCATGCCACTGAACAGCTGATCGTGGCGGGAGGTGCTGGGACGGAGGGGGAGGAGCTGATAGGCGGGGCCATCGGTGGACAGGAGGTGCTGATCCGTGGGTGCAGAGCACGCATTATTTTTTTTAGCATCCACGGAGTTGGCGCATATGGCACCATCATGTCGACAGTACCACCAACTACTGTCAGGAGAAGCCACAGTAATAGGCAGAGACAGGAAAAAACAAACAAACCACAACACAGGTCTGTGGGTATGCCTATAGCAGTCTATTCATTGAAGATTTCCTAGTGGTGATAAAGGGGGTTGTTTATATCACCTCAGTAGGACTTTGTAATAACTCCTTTACCGCTTCCTTGGAAATTGGAATTATTCTGCCCCCCATCATTTCTTTGACAGCTTCACACCAGGGACTGACAAAGCATTTTTGCAGTAAAGGAATCCTGTCTACCATGATCACAAATCACTATGCATAGGACTGGCCAGAGGATTTTGAGGAGGGCTAGCAAGATGGTTTTCTGGCATATACACCAAGTTTAACTTCTCCTTCACCACCATGTCCCTCACTGCTCACCTGCTATGGTCTCTTATTGCATTAACTCTCTACTCAACCAGTGATGCCTGTCTTGATCCCTCATTCATCTACTTCTCCCACAGCTTGCATTTTCTTCCACACTGTCCCTTAATGCTTGGACCACCCTCCCTGAATTGATTTTTAAGGCCATTACACTCTCCTCCTTCAAATCCCTCCATCTACTATGATGCCTACAAGAAAGTAGCCAATAATGCCGAAGGAGAGCCAGCTGGCGATAACTGACATTTGAGAGGGGAGAAAATAGTAAAAAATATTGATTGTGCGTCAGATATTCAAAAGCACCTAAATGATTTAGGAGCACGTCCCAACAAAAGCACTCACGTTTCAAAGGCACTTTTGAAAAATCTCACCCATGGAGACCTGTAAGTTCTTGTCAGCTCTGCTTGTGTGACTTGGCAAAGGCCACAGAGTCTGTGTCAGAGCTACGATTAGCCACTTGCTTGGTTTGCTATGCCATACGGTTTCTTGTGGTATTGAACGGCCCCGGCTTCTGGGGAAGATGATATTAGCTGCTCAGCACAGGAATTAGCTCAGCAGCTGTTAAGGAGCTTGCTGCTGTCCTCGTGCCAACAAAAGTAGACTGGGCAGCACCATCCACTATAGCAGTGATGTGATCTACTGTCTTGCCAAAACCAACAACAAAAATCAAAGCATCTATGGCTTTGGTTCTGCTGGACACTGGAGGGCTGGGTAACTGTACAACTGGGTGGATAACCTGTGATCTTTGGGAATAAAATCACTAACAAGCAGACCTAGAGAGTAGTTTACATAAGTTTGAAATTTAAGATCCTTTGCACGTTACTAAGTCTCCCAATTTAAGGGGGCAATAACCAAAGATTTTGTGTGTCCATAAAGGCTGGCTCTGATATTCATGTAAAGCAATGCTCTGACTGATCACTATTAATGGTAGTCACCAGCTTCTATCTTCATCATGGTAAGGAGAATAGACTCCTTTGTTTACTTATAAGAACTTTGAAGGAAATGTAGCATTAGTTATAATGGTGGCATGGAATTACTTTGGAGCATTTTCCACCAAACAGTGTTTTCATATGGACATCCCAGTCATGAATGCATCGATGACATTGATGACTCGGATAATGCAGTAGAGAGTATGCTTAGAAAATCTGCAGATGACACTCTGCTGGGAGGGGTTACAAGCACTTTGGAGGACAGGATCAGAATTCAAGACAACCTTGACAAATTGGAGAGTTGATCTGAAATCACCAAAGTGATTTTTTTTTGTTTTTTTAAAATAAATGGAGATATCCTATCGCCTAGAACTGGAAGGGACCCCAAAAGGTCATTGAATCC